CTTGGTTTGGATCCACTGCTGTAGCTACAGCCCACACTAGGCAGTGAGGAGCAGCCCCAGTGTCAGCCATTCCTCTTCTGAGTAACTTCAGGGGGAACAAAGTGCATCAAAGCCCACAACTACTCTATCTAATCTGACCCCAGTTGTGTGTCACCTACAGACTGGGTCAGACAATGTGTTTAATACATTAATCTTGGCTTCACTGAATATCAGGTCTTTGGCTGGCAAATCACTATACGACGCAGTTTTCCACCCCCTAGACCAGGAGTCAGCAACCTTTTAAAGCAAAGAGCCATTTTATCCTAAACGTCTGACCCAAGATTTACAAAGAGCTGGTGAGTAGAGAAGGGGGTTTGAGATAATTTTTTTTATGCAATATGGGTGTATATGCATTTAAGACAAAAACAAAACTTGAAGTACTTACAAAAAATAAAGATAGATCATTTCGGGGGGGGGGGGGCATCTCAGTTTTAAATCACTCGGACACATTACAGCCGAAAAGTGACTAATATTACGACACCGTTCAGTTCTGCAGTGACAGTCTTCACCCTCACTCCTCCTTTCCTGAGTAAAGTTTCTTTGTCTCTGTAGTTGTCTGCCCTTCACTCTGCACTTCACTGTAACTACTGACTGAGCAGCGCAAAATGTCCTCACCACTCCAAACTCAGCTGGATATAATAAGTAAGTCGGAGAAAATATACCAGTTTTTACGAAGACCTGGGAAGGAATGATGACAATTTACTACAAAGAGTATATGAAAGAATTAGGATTCCCAATAAACACTGAAGCGTACATCCAATTTCAGTTAATGATTAATTTGACCAGAGATGTAATCCTATCGTAGAGAATGACATTGAGGAAGATGTAAATGATGCAGGTAAGACATCACAGATATACATATAGCTAAAGAAATATTTAAATTAATGATATTAACCCATAAATGAATAATTTATCTTTACGAAAGTATTACCATAATATGTTAGGAAATGAAAATGTGAATGTGTCTGTCATTCTGAGAAGAGCCGCAGCCACGTGGTCAAAGAGCCGCATGTGTCTCGCGAGCGGAAGGTTGCTGACTCCTGCCCTAGACCATGCAACCTTGACAGAAACTGTTCAGCACCTCAGGCCTGAACACATACACCATAGCACTGACACTACAGGTGTTAAGGTTTTAAATGACATCCATCTCAGCAGTGATGAATCAAAAATCTTGATTTTGATTTGTATTATTGGATCTCAGTGCTGCTTTCAGCACAGTTGACCATAAGGTAATATTACATAATAGCACAAGAGCATATTACACTTGACCTTAAATCATTGCACTGGCTTCCTGAGTGTCACGGGATTCGTTGTAAAATATTATTCTCGTGTACAAAGTACTAATTGGACTCAGACCTAAATACATTTCTGATTTCCTTGAACGTTGTTTAGCATCCAGACCCCTGAGGGCATCTGACAAAGGTTTACTCAATGTCCCAGAATGAAGACCAAGCAGGATGAAGCAGCTGTTAGTCTCTATGCTCCCTGTCTGTGGTACAAGCTTCCTGAAGACCTGAGGTCTGCAAACACTGTCAGCTCATTATAATCAGGGCTTCAAACATTACTGTTTCCTACAGCTTTTCAATAAATTAAACCTGAGTTTAGTCATATGCTGCCTCTACAATGTCACTTCTTTTTAGTTAATAATTTATTTGTTTGTTTGGCTTTTAGGCTTTTTAAAATGTCTTTTAAATTGACAATGAACGAAGTCCCACTAAGTACCAAAAAAGTACCCAAGCTGCTTTGGTACTTTGGCTACAGGAACTTTTGGTTCTGGTCCTTAGCTGGAAGTCAATGGAAAAGGGAAAGTATCAAATGTACCGTACCTGGTGAAGTGGAAAAGTACCCTGAATGAACTTGCCTTGCTTTGCAATTGGATCCAAGGGCTATTGACATAAAGAGCTCATGTAAATGTAAAAGGCCAAGAGGCAGCGTGTATTAGGATGAATTCGCCGACGATTATGTCACCCACGTGACATGGAATTAATCCTTCTATTGTAATATTCTGGGAAGTTGTAATTGTGGATTAATTCTGATCGTGTATGGACTAAATCATCCTGAAATTCAGATTAATCATCCATGATTCACAGAGAATATTATTGAACTGCACGAACATGTTATTCTTTACCAATCCCCTGTAAAACCTATTTCTTCATAAATAACTTGTGTCTCATAAAAAGAAGCCAATATGCTAATCTGGGCCATTAGATCAGCATGCAGGATGCTTATCTTGGTTTCAGGAGGCAGGGGAGGGTCGGTATACAGCACCCTATATTGCCTTTAGGGGGGGACAGGGAGGCATTGCGCAAAGACACCTGGCGCAAGGACGCCTATCTTACCATGTTATCGCAAGCAGCATCACTCGGACAAAAGGGGGAATTTGAGAACATATTGCCTGGGGGGAAGGGGTGAGCCTGGCCAGCTTACCCCCTGCCCACACGCAACACTAAATATAGTATAAAGGAAGGGGGAGATCCCAGTACTGACCGGAGTTCAGCCGTGGGATAGAGCGCGCATCGCCCGGCACTTTCTCAGGACTCACGTGTTGGTCTCCTGCCAGGACTGAAAAGGGCTCCCCAGTCCGTGTGTGAAGGTGGGTGATGATGGCACGTCCGAGTGTAAATAGTTTTTCAGCTGCTTATGCGTTTAATTGATTATGGGGATTAATTATCACCACTCGTGATAATAATTTCCATTTTCTATATTTTATTGTTTATTTTCTATATACATTAGTTTATATGATATATAATATTCTATATCCCTTGTGGTACGAGGTTATTTTGCATTGCTTTTAACTGATATCTTGATATTGATTTTAATGCGAAGTTATCTTGTATTACTTGTAATAAAGTGTTTTTTAGTGAACCTAAGCGTGCTTGTTTGTTCCTTCGAGAGCCCAATATCCCTCTCTCATCCATTTTAATACACAGCGGGAGAGAGAAAGAGAAGCTCCCCTACAGGGAGAGAGAAGCGTGTGTGTGAACAGACTCACATTGTAAGAATTCTGCTCTGGTCCTGGTCACTAATACCGGTAGGATGGTGTCTTTGGTAACTAGAAGGAGACAGAGAGAAACAGGGATGTGAGTAAAAGGAATTTACTTGTGGGAGATGGACGTCACTCACTGTGGAGACACCAGCAGTAGATTATTATCATTATGAGGAAAAAATAACATGCATTTTAACAAGTGCAAATCATTATAAGTTACACAAAATACAGATTTATGGATTCTATAATGCAGAAGAAACATGATTCATGTGATCTGGGTTTTGTACCCTATGGAATGTAGAGCTCTTTCATCAGTTTTCACAAATATTTAGTCTTAATGCATAAAGAAACTGACCTGGTTACACAAACATGAGACTGTACTGCATACTCTCTCTGCATGGTCTATATTAACATGAACATACAGGAAAATGTATTTATATATTCACCTGTGTGATGGATCTCTGCCATTTTCTTTTTGGAAACATTTCCCAGTTGATCCTTCAGTTCAGAAACCACCTTCCTCACGTTCTCTAAAGAGCAGCGTGGATAGACAGAGATTCTGGGTCCAGATCCAGCTTCAGGGACAACAGGAAGACCCTGGAAACTCTAAAGACACACAGTCTGATTAAACAGCTTCATAACAACAAATGTGTATTGTAATGGAATGAGCAGGATCATTAACATCTAACAAATGACAGACCCCAGGTGGGCCCACCACCCGCAAGGGGAATGTCAGGGGTTCGGTGCTTTGTGGATTGGGTGGCGGCCAAGGGAGGCCCTGGTGGTCCGATCCCCGGCTGACAAAACTGGCTTTCGGGACATGGAATGTCACCTCTCTGGTGGGGAAGGAGCCTGAGCTTGTG